AAAGAGGACAAACACCAATGTCAGTCCTCATCGAATACGCAAGTTTGCTTGAGGTTGGCTTTGTTACCTATGCGGGTTCACACGAGGGCGCGTCTTTTCCTCCTCATCATCAGCTATAACAGATATATGAATAGTTTCCCCAGGAGCAAATGCTTTTTGACTATGAGCTACAGCTCTCGACACCAAATCCCGAATACTTCAAACGCATCGAACTTTACTCCATCATCGATCTTGTCTCCTTCATCCCAAAATGGCTCAAACCGAGACTCTCAGTCTTTTGCAAGATGTCGTTGTCAAGACCCAACAGCAGGCAGTCCTGGAGTCCGACATTCAGGAACTCCACGACCACATTCTCGCCCAGCCAGGAGGAGAGGAAAAGCTTCGGCTTCTGGCCGAAAGCGTCAGCTCGCCTGTTACGGCCATGGCCACTAACGATGCTGGCGCATTCAAATCCAAGATGGGTGCTACAGGCTCTCTGATTAACCTCTGGTTCTATCAGCGTGTAACCGTCAAAGTCAATGTCAACGGGAAGGATAGACAGTTTACCGCAAACCTCGGCGGGTTCTCGCCGGGCTTTCCGGGCGGTGTTCTCTTGTGAGTTGAAAATCACCAGCATCTTTGGACATGATACCTGCCACGAAGCATGATTCACTGACTGTGCGGCGAACGCTTTCCCAGTGGAGACCTCTATTACGATGATATCAATGATGTCGGTGGTGACTATACCGTTCAAGCTGGCTCCATCGGAGTGAGTATTCATCTGCATCTCACAGCTCAAGCTGAACCCTCGCTTCGTCGGGGCATTAGACGTAGCACACTAACAGATGGGATATTGCAGCCATGGTACTCGGTGCAATTCTTCCGGAATGGTTCGCTCAAGATGTCGTTGCAAGCTGGCAACTTGGGATTTTCGACTGGGGTCACTGGCGGTACCGGCTCTTGGGACTAGTACTTACTTCATGTGCTTAGCAAAAGCTTAAAACACTTCCGGCATTTTCAAGCACAGGGTGAACGCTAGTTTTGGTAGGAGAGAATGGGCCTTACAGTTCTTGCAACACTGGGTCCTTCGTGGATGCGTAATTTACTTTGATTCACTGCGTCACTGACATTTGGGAAAGGGAACTCTCAAGCTTCGCAATGACTTCGTCTAGAAAGATTCCAAAGACCTGATCGGTCATAGTTTTGTGTGCCAGCAGCCCGACGCATATTCAGCCCGTGCTGTGCAAATAGAAAGGCAATTTTCTGTGATGTTGACATTGGAGGCGAGTTCAAAGAAGAGATCTGAGCCGGAGAGAGCCTCGAACTGAAGGCCCATGGGTCAGTCCTTTGCTATGAGACTGTCTCGTTGCTTGCGGTGAAGTCTAAAGTCATCCTGTAACATAGGTTTGTTGATGACAACGGCCTCGCCTTGAAGTGCACCAAACTTAGTGCCGCCTATGCAGAAGACTCCATCAGGCGGCCAATATCCTCAAGTATAAGATCACTCCCCTCCGCAGGTAGCGCTACATCGATAGGTGCACCGTCGAGGATCTTGTGCCTCTTGCAGACTTTGACGATCTTGTCCGGCTGTGCATTACTTTCAGCGAGCCGATTTCCGTAGGATTGGAGACGTACACGAGACCGGGCTTCGCCATGCACGGTTAGTGCGAATTGTCACTCGACGCCTGCTTGACCCCAGCCACTATTAACTTGCCTTCAACTGGCCGCGCCATGGTTATCTTGTGGGTTAAAGCCTAGGTGGCCTTGGGTATGCGTACGACTATGTAATTACCCCAGAGCTGAGTGCAATTCAAGCAGCAGCCACCGTGTTGACTAGCATCCCGCTCATCACAAAGTGCACATCGGTAACAGGTGGCTTGATGTCTTTCTGGCCAAGTTCCAAGCATTTTCCGTAGAATAATTGCCGTACGATGACCGGATACCAGAGTTGTGATTTGTAAGTGCTGCTGATTGTCCGCATGCGCTCATCGCTGTAGTTATCCCGGTAATGCACATATTGAGTTTCAAGATGTAAGAGAGCATGTTGTAGAAGTTATAATACAAAATACAGGTATCCAATGGGATGTAGCTAGAGACAAGGCAGCGGCCCTTTAGACTCGGAGTAGAAACAAAGACCACCCTAGAATACAATGCTCAGTTTCTACTAATTAACTCCATGAAGACAACTTCGACCATAATTCCCTTTGTCTTATTAAGATACGGCACAGGATGTGATTGGAAAGCGTATGGTGTCAAAAAAATGGTGCATTCCAATGCCTTCACCTTTTTGATCCCTTCATGACGACTACTGCCTCTCAATTTTTTTGGAACTTGGTTGACACGCCTTTCTCACCAAGTACCGGTAGACTGTTGATAGAACTTATAACAAGGTACGTTTCCAAACCGTCCAGACCCTAAGGCACCTTAGATTTAAGGAAGGCAGGATTCAAGAGCCCCACGAAACCACCGTTCCTTCCCAGAAAGAAGTGAGGTACAAAAAGGCAAAATATAACGGCAAATTTGACATTTTGCTTGTCCACTTCAGGAAGGAAAAGAGAGTCGCGAATCTTATCTCATTTCTTCAATTCACCCACTCGCCTCGACGGCCCTCGCTCCTTAGGCCTTCCTACCATATTTTCCCACGAACCTCACTCTAATATCGTCTTGCGAGCCCGGTCCATTATCAATCCAGGAACTTCCGGCAGTCAATCGTTAATTGAAGTCATCGATGAGTCTACTTTTCACTTGATGTAAGAAAATATCCTATCACACTATCTGGAGGTCGCTCACAGCTAACTTGGCCATCGACAGTTTCCTTAGCTTCTCTGTTATTAGAGACCCTCTCAGCTTCATTCAGACATGCATTGAGCTACTACTCCGGATCGTATTCAGGTATCTTGAGCTATTAAAAATATCACAGCTCCCAATCCCAACTTTCAGTCATGCTAACACGCGGCACACCCAAAGGATGGATGACTTCAACGACGATCGAGGCAATCGCGCGTCTCTGCATGAGCAGCTTGCCTTCTTAGCATTGACGAATGCAATTGATAATTGGAACTCTCAGTGTCCCCATCTCGCTACTCAGCTGATAAACGACAATGATCAACATCTCATAACCGAATGTTATAAGGCTCACTTGATGCCGACAGCGCGTTCCTTCTGGTGGAATGGAGAGAACGCCAATATAGCCACATCTATACTTCTGCCTAAGATGTACCCTCTGCTCGAGAACAATTATTGGAAGCGTGACAGATTGAAGGCTACCGACATTCTCAGAACCTGGCGTCAAGACGCTGCCCGCCTTTTACCGTTTGACGATGTCGACAACGAAGAGCTTGGAAACACAGGTGTTGAAGAGGAGGAAGAGATAGAGGAAGACTCTGTCGAAGAGGACCGAGATGTCCGAAGTCTTTCCCGCTCCCTACAGCAGTGTGGAATGAACGACCAACACGATACAGAAGAAGACACTGAAGACGTCATTTTCGTTGCAGAACGACCCGCGCCAAGCAAGAAGAGAAAGGCGGAGAGTCCATTGAGCCCAGTCATTACACCCAAGAGAGCGAAGCATCATCAATCCGTCGACAAGTCCGTTTACGACGTCGAGAGCTCCGACGACGACATCATTGTGCGCCGCCGACGGCCCCTTGCGAAGTCTGCAGGTCTTCCTAGAGTATGGCCCGCTGGAACGCTCATCACACCTCCTCAAAGCGACGGATCGTCACCCACGGTCTTAGTCGACTCTGATAGCGACGACCAGGAGCCCCTTTCGATAAGTAGACGCCGAGATCGTCTTGTTACCTCGACCGACTCGGACAGCGATGATCAAGAGCCCCTTTCGATGGGAAGACGTCGAGGCCGTCGTCTGTTTGAGCGCAAGGAATCGCCCAAGCCTTCGATGGAGCGTCAGTCGCAACTCGGTCTCTCGCCCATCCGGACCGTCGCGACTATCGAACCAGTCGAAGCGCCCAAGGATAAGCATAACTGTGTTGCGGCCCTCGAGGACCTTTTTGATTCCGTCAACAGATCCCGTGATCAGTTCACGGGAGAGGAGTGGAAGCAGGCGGATCGTCAATTGGAAGAGATGGGGAAGCGGATGAAGAGAATGAGCAAGATGGCCAAGACTAAGAGAATGGATAGAAGTCCTTAGGCTTCAATAGAGAGGACTTGGGATTTTTGGTACAAACCAATTAGGTTAAAGTCCAGTATTTGAGCAAAGTAGCTCGCATTACGTCGTCGGAACAGCCCTATCTGATAGACTCCGGCACCTCAATAAAGAGATAGATAGAAGATGTTTCCAGAAAATGCACGAAGTACACAGCTTGGAGAATGGTGTCAACCCCTATTTCATCAGGACACAGAGATCAAAGTAGACAAATGATGAATGATGAATGATGAATGAATCCACGAAGTTATTTGCAAAGGTGCTTCTGTCTGCGCACACACCAACCACTGTGGGACAATGGCAATTCTCCATGTCATCGGGCAAAGACCGATTCATTGCGAAACCGAGGAACGACGCCAAGCCCTACAGAACCCGAGTCACTGCGCTTAAACAATGTTTCCAACCCATTGTGTGCCACCCTTCGGGAACGTTTCAGCGATCATTTCTGTGGTGGTGCTAAGACCCCGGGTTTGTTTGCGTTTAGCTTCCCCCGCCCGTGATAATTATCAGACGAAGAAGGTTGGACACGTGCGATGCCGAGCTACCTTATCTCACTCTCACTCTCCCATGAGATCCGCGCGTTACCCTTACGGTTACATTGTCCCCCAAGGTAGCCTCAAACCTCCATTTTCTTCTACCACACATAGTAATCTGCGCGGCCAAAAATCTAGGAATATTCCAAACATGGCAGAGTCAATCACCGCAACAATGGCCGCGAGTCGCAAGAGATCAAGGCCCGAGGCAGATACCACCAGTACCACCAGCTGCAAAGCAACACTAGCTTCCATCAACTTCAACGACAGACCACCACACCCCACTACAGTCATCTCACTACCCAAAAACGAAGACGAAGTCGAGACCCTCCTCGAAAAAACAAGCGCCCTCGCCGACGTAGTCTCCCACAACCGCAGCCTAGCCGTCTACACCGCCTTCGCAGCAACACCCAACCCCAAACGCGACCCCGTCGCCATCGCCAAGAGGGAAGCCGACGTGCGCGAGCTCGAAATGCACGACCGCTTCGAGCAAATCGGCTGCCAGCCGCAACCCTGGATGAAGCTCGACGTGCTCAAAGACGTGAAGCCGCTCGACAGGGAGAACAGGAAGACGGCGGCGCGGTACGAGGATATGGCGTCCTGCGTCGACGAGGTGTGTGGCACAACGGGCGCAACGAAAGAGAATGTAGCTTGGATCGTGGAGAATAGGGAGGTTGTGCTGCCTCTTGTGAAGTTTTATCTGAGGATAAAGAGGGCGAGGAGGAATCTTTCGGGCGGGCAGGCGAGTCTTTCGAGTAATGAGCTGGCCGAGTACCAGACAGTACGCAAGATTCGGAGCGTTTTGGGGGTGAGGATGCAGAAGTTCCGGATGGAGAAGGCTTCGGAGAGGAGGTTGAGGGGGTATGATGTTGTGCTGTTGAGGAGGCAGAATGAGATGAATGCTATTTTGAAGGGGCAGCGGGATCGGGATGGGCAGAGTGACGATGGATTTGCTGCTCATGGTGGGGAGGCGAGGACAAAGCGCCAACGTTGCTGAAGCGTAATAGCCAGTATAGTCAAGTGGCACAGAGTCAAGTGAATTGACAATGATGTATTTTCAATTGATGATAGAATCATGTCGACCTCTTAAGTTACTCATCTCTTTCATGCCCAACCTGCTCTGCTCCGCGGAAGATTCAGGCTTCCAGTCAATCCAATTCTTGCAACGCTATGTAACCTGAGTGGACTCGAGCTTCTTTACTCATAAATCCCTTACCCAAGCTTGACCTTCCCATCATGGCGATGGCTTAAGCACCTAATGATGCCCGTAGACGCCGGGTAGTAAATAGTCTCTTGAAAATGATAGAAGCTTCACGAGCAACAACTATGTTCGGATCAATTCCAATTCCGGACGTAAGTGAACCTCCACCTTCTTGCTCTTTATACATGCCAAAACCAAAAAGGAAGGAACGAGGGAGGGGGAACACTGACCTTATAATTTACGCCCCTATTCGGATTCGAACAGCGCGCCCCTCGTTTCCAGCACGGAAGTCATTGGAGTATTTCATTTACTATCGACTCTGCGTCAGAGTCTAACCACCCGGCCAAGTGGCCGGATGGGGTGCTGGTGACAGATTCGACATTGAATGGGTATAAGTAGTACCCTTGGCCTTCACCTTCCAGTATCCCTCATGGAGGCTACTCAAGGAGATGTAGAATCCGGAGCTTCAGCTCTATATTTGCGTTGCGATATCATATGATTCAATATTCTCATTCATCTTGACATCATCCCGTTATTCCGGAAGAGCAAACAAGGGTCGACGATATTCCTCCTTCTCGCGATGTCAACCAAAGACCCCAGTCCGGAATTCCGGCTTAGTCAGGATATATCTCCACAAAACGCCCGGGCTGCCGTGCCGATCAGCCCGGCTCCTCCCCACCCCGCCTGCCCGTCTAGCGCTAGCTTAGCTCGCCCTTATCTTCCGCCTTATGAATACGCGTACCCAAATTGTTCATCGCCAACTTCCCATGCCGGAGCTGATACTCCAAAATGCAATAGAAGAGAGGCAGAAGAGCAGGAGAAACTGGTCAAGAGAAAGACTGCGAGCTGCCTCTTTTCCCATAAGCTACAGTGGTTTCGACCCCCTTGCCCCTGAAGAGCTTCGTTCTAGTATGCCCCGGGTTCCAAGACTTTCCAAGCTTACTTCCCACTCACAAGGTTCGATATCCTCGGATGCTCATCGCAAGCCTAACTTTCACACATTTAGCATGGCCTTCTAAGGTGGTATCTCTTCTCTTCACCCGCTCATTGATGATCAACTCTCACATGGTCTAAGGAAGCGCATTAAATCAATACGAAGTGTTCGCGCCGTGCTTTTTGCATTTTGCATTTTCCATTTTCCTGATTCTCTACACGTAATCCTGACTCTACTCGTCCAAATACTGGGGATCCATGGGACCTGTATCATCTAACCTGTGGGCCCTTGAGTATTCCAGTATCCGTAAGGTGGTCCCTTTTCCTACAGAACTATTTGCATCTTTAGTCTGTCTCGCTAGGCAGTCACGATGACTCTAGTGGCCCTCGCCACCGAGACCATCCAACTCCTTGAGCACAGATGACTTGGTGCCAATCTTCTTCATCTGCGTGTCCTCAAGCTTCTCGCCTCCGGCCAGTCTCATCTCGAGATCCTCGATCGCGCGGACCTTCTTCTGCAAGCTGCGAATCTTCTTCGCGTTCGGGTTTTGCGAGTTATCGGCGCCGGGGCTAGTTACAGTCACCGGTGCGGCCTGTTGAGGCTGCGCGTTAGGCACCTGCGGCGCGCCATTCTGGCCTCGGTGGGTGTTGCTCCTGTTACGATGCTGACCCGCACCGGGGTTGCGAGAGTGGCTGCGGTGTCTGTGGTTACCTCCGGCACCGCCACGGCGCTCAGGGCTGCGACCCTCATGCCCAGAACCCGCGCCAAAGTCACGGGGAGGCGGGGCGAGCGAAGCACCACCGCCGTTCTGGCCCTCTGGGTTGATTTCTCCGTCCTTCTTTCTGTTGTTGCGCTTCTTCTTGTTCTTGAGTGCCGCCTTTGACAAATTTTCATCGTCGTTCGGGTCGGCTCCAGGAACCTTAGGAGCAGCACCAGGCACGGCAAACTCTGCACCAGGCACACCACGGCGGGGACGTCCGAACCCGTTAGGTCCAATGGGCGCAGATCCGTTGTTCATGCTGATGTGGGCCGCGCCGCCCTCGTCTTCTCGCTTGAAATGAAGCGGGGTGGCGAGGCCACGAGCACCGGGAGGGCGGTAAGCTCCCGCGGGCTTGCTGGGCGTCTTTACAGAGCCCAAGTAAGTGGCCGCGGAGGCGTGGGGGGTGGGGACCGGGTTCAGAGGATCTCCGCCGGCAACCTTTTCGACAGCCAAGGGCCTCCAGACAACGTGATAAAGCTCAACCTTGTCCTCGTTGTACATGAGAGGACCGCTAACGTGCCAAAGCTTGATGCCGTTGTCGACACGGAGACGGGGAGAAGTGGTAGCCGTCATGATATAACGGCTGTCCGGACTCCACGTGCAGACGCTAGGGTTGCCACTCTCAATAGTGTGAAGCTTGCGGAAATCCTTCTCGAGATCAATGACATCGATCTGGCCAGCCAGATTTCCGAATCCAGCAACAAGAGCAAAACGTCCCGTGGGGGAGAAGATGATGGTATTGCGAGGTCCCAGGGGGAACGAGTGCTGGGCAACGGCGCGGTGGTTGAAGATGGTAGTCTTCGCGGGCATGTAGCCATAGACGACACCAAACTCCTTGGAGTTCGGGGACCACGTCACATCGTGGATAGGACCCTCCTTGTCCAGGCTGACGCGGGCGTCGAAAGAGCCATTGACACTAAGCAAGTACAGTGTAGTCTCACCGTAGTAACTCTTGTTGGACTTGTCGACATCAGTCTGGGCCAGAACGAGAATGCTGGTTCCCAATTGGTTCCACTTGAGCTGGACCTTGTCGCCCTTGAAGAAGGTCTTTTGAGAAATGGGAGCGTTGAATTGGGGCACGTTGTAGACCTTGACGGCAGCGGGTTGTCCCTGAGAAGTACTTGTTAGCATGTTGAGAAGTTGAATGAACGAACGCAAAGAGTGCTCACCTTGCGTTCAGGAATGAAGACAGCAACGGAGTGGGAACGACCGGGAGCCAGGGCAAAGTCGGCGACGCCCTCGACTCTCAGCTTGTTCCAGACGGTGCCGAGATCGTGGCTTTCGTAGAACTGGACTTCGTTGGTGACTTGGCGGGCACAGAACTTCTCGTCGGCTGTGTACTGAAGGTTCCAGCCTCCCTGCGACTTTTGGACGTACTTGCCCAAGGGCAGTTTGTCGGCTCCAGCAACGCCATCTTCGACAGTACGCCAGACCTTCAGGTTCTTGGTCGCATCTCCGTTCTCATCCTTGGCAGGTCGCTCCCAGGTGACGAGGAAGGTGCCGAGAGGAGAGAAACCGAGCTCAAGGACATTGAGGATGGGGAGGGCAAGAACCTGCTGGCCAGTGGAAGCGTCGACAACGGTAACAACTTCGGGGCTCGCCCAGGCAAAGTAACGGCCACAGGGCGAGTATGCACAACACCGGAGGTTCCCTTCAGGATTGGCGAACCCAGAGAGAGGCTGATAAGATGGCGCAGCATCAAACAGGCCGATGCCCTTCTGGGTGCGGTAGGCAAACTGCAATTGTGAGGACGCCATAACTAGTCAAAGTCACAGTGTGTGTATCAAGAGCAGAGAGTGTCGGGTCGGAAGGTTGACGTTCTTGGGTGGAATTGATGGTTCTTCTTCAGTGGGCTCAGAGATCAGAGGCGGTCGTCGAGGTCGAAGTCGTCGAGGTAGACGGACAAAGGCAGATGGCGATAGCTCGAGAGCTTTGATTGTGTTGCTTTGCGATGGACGGAAACCGTGGATTGACCGGGGGGGCGGGTATTCCGGCGACGTCTTGTTTTTCTTTGCAGCAAAGGAAGCTTTGTTGATCTGCAAATTCGCAATCGGTGGCAGGGTGTTTGTGTTGATGTTCTAACGTCGGATATGGATACTAGAGTATACCACAGAGCTGGCGTCGGATGTTGGCTTTGAAGCTGGTCGACGAATGACGTGTGAATCGATGGTCGATGGCTGACGGGGCAGTCGTGATTCAGAGCGGCGTCGGAATCGAGATGCAAACACACGTGCAGTGACAACGAGGACGGAGAGGCAGACGACAGCAAGGGCGACTGGCTGGAGCTTGAGCCGTGAGGCTATAGGGACCCGAGGAAGAAAAATAGGGAAGAACGTGAGGAAGAGGGGAGAAAGGGAATGGGAGGAGGCACCCTGAGGGGGGAAGATTGGCGTGCAACGGTGCGTGTTGTTGTGTGGGCTGGAGGAGAGGAAAGGAAAGGGAAAGGAAGGGGAGAGAATGCTAAAGTGGGATTTTGTGAATATTTTTTTCTGCTTTGCCAGTTGCGCCCCCTGGTCCCGTCGCCTGCGCGGGTTCGCCTTGGCTCTGGCTGGCACACCCTGGCCACTTTTTTTCTTTTCTTTCCTTTTTGTCGGCCTGAGCTCACTTCACGCCTCACCATGGCTTCAGGGCACCTCATTTTGGGGGCCTTGGGGAAGTACTTCAGAGCTGGCACGCTGTATCCGTACGATTAATGGACGGGAGGGCACCCAAGCACTCCCGGTCCTCAGTCATGTTAGGCTACGACGGTCAGACGGCCCACTCAGAGATAGAAGTACCTTACTACGTACACAGCAAGGTAACGGGTACGTATCTTGCCTGAATAAGGCGTCTTATGTAATACTGCCAGCGCACCTCTCAAATCCCACAAAGTTTCAAAAAGGATCAATCCGTTTGCTGTTTGTTGTGGAACACCAATATGAAAGGAGGTAGGATAAGCACGATGCTTTAATCGTGAGCGGTCATTCAATGCCCATTTCTCTATTGCTTAAAGTATTGAGTGAGTATGAAAGCCTCTACGATAAGATAAGGTAGGCAATACAGTTGGCTACCTAGGTACCTAGTCTGCAGCAGTTGAGTAGCCTGAGCGACAAGGTGCAGCTTGGAAGCAAAGCCACACACACACACACACACACTCCCACACTCCCAATGCGGGCCGCAGCCGGACAGGGCAGCGCAGCGCGTGGTGCCGTCCCCAAACCCCATGAATCCCGGGCCCAGCCGTGGCTGGTGGACTCTCACACTCTCATCGCGAAAAGCTGGAGGCGAGGTTTGCTTTCCTCCGCGTGGGCTTCTAATTACCTAAGACCTTTACCTTTACCTACCTAGGTATGAGTGGAGGACATGTGGCCAATCACATGTTTTCCATCTGCTTACGGCGCCGGCACAACAGAGACGGGCGTCCCTTCCACTGCTCCCCAGACAATGGCTTGATTGGCACTGGCAGGAATGGTCCAGTAGACTTGCAGGTGAGACTGAGACCTCCAAATGCTGCGCCGTTGCCGTATCAATTCTGCATCTCCAGGAAGGCGTGTCTTACTCATCGCTCCGTGACTTTGTCTATTGGCTGGCTGTGTGTTTTCTTGTCCCACATCTGACCATTTCCAATTCCAGCAAACAACAATTCCCTTCCAGTGTCCAATGACCTGAACAACAAACCTTCGTCTGACCAGTCTTCCATCTACCGTCTCTTCAACTTGCGGGCCTCGGGTTCTGTCTCAATAGAACATCTCTAATCACAGGGTTCCGTGCTCGAGCCAGGCAAGTGGGTGACAAAATCGATATCCTGCTATTCATCTTCCTGTGTACCCCTTTCACTACTCATATCATAATTATTACTTCTCTGTATCAAAGTCCTTCTTATGTATATACGTAGAGAAATATACTCTAATTGATAGAAGATTTAGAGTATCATATTGTTCAGATCTCCAAGAGAATCGTAGGACTGGAGAAGTCGAAACGTCCCATACCGAACGGCAGAAAGACTAGTACTTAGTTTACCAAAAGTCGTTGGCAACACTCCTAAACATTCAAACACACTTCTCGCAGCGCGCTGGACTTCAAGAGGCTGATCAAGACAGCCAGAATCGTAACTCTTATTGGGCTTCGGCATGGCCCATGGCTTTGTTTCTCGGAATTCCCAGATTAGCGAGATGCTCCTTCAGGCCCGCCGCCGAGCCGATTTGCACGATCCGTTCTGACGACTTGACGTCGTATAAGTCTAACTTCTTTGTCACCGCATCGGCGCGGATGGGAGGTTTTCGTCAAGACGGGCCTTCGATTTTGAAAGGACTGCTGCGTCGAATGACAGGTAGAGGGTTCAGCAGGCCGTCGTTGCGGTTGCTCGCCCTCGTCGTTACCAACTCTCCCGGATGAGGCTCGCTTCGCGGCATCGAAATCACGGCCAGTTCAATATCATAGTCTGACTGCTGCGGCTCATCTCTTTCTGTGCCGGGAGTACTTCCAGGGGTCGACGCAAGCCTCGCATTCGAATCTGCTGTGGTGTTTTGCAGCCCGATCCTGTTCCCAGCCGCTAGCCTGGATCGGCGATTCATGCCCCAAGATGACAGGGAGTCTAGACAATCTTTCGATGCCTTCCTCCACCAAGAGAGTCCTGCCGTGGAAGAATTAGACGATACTCTTGTCGCGCTGCGCCGCTCGAGCAGGTGGTTGATTGAGGGAAAGCAAGCGCAAACTATGCCAATGGCGAGCTCTCCAGTCCTGGCAGAATCCCTGTCAGCTAGGAGTGTTACCTTGGACACAACTCCTTCAAAAGGCAAAGACTCACACAGTCCAGTCAAGAGGGATGAAATCCACAGTTGGGTCTTTGGTGTCCGCAAACTTGATGGTGAGGTATACCCGATACACCGTCACCGCAAATGCTACACCACCCGCGCCTAGAAGTGCCACCACCTTCACCTTTCTGGCAAGTGACACCCGCAGAGCCCAGGTCAAAGGTATGGGAACAACGAGAATCACCAGATCTGACACGATCGAGATGGAGCCGTCGTACAAGAAAAGCTTGGTCTGGTCGATGCACTTGAAGTTGACAACGTTCGTGTCCCAAAATGCCTGGACTGGGATGCAAACGAGAGTCTTTGCGACTTGTGCCGGTATATAGCACAGAAGAAAGAATGCCAAAAGAGCGTGAAGCGTCCGAGCTACGTTCCTGTCGACGGAGAAAACGCGAACGGTGAGAAGAAGAAGAGCTGTTTTGGTGAAAAAGGCTGCCGGCGAATACAGGAGGGAGCTGATGTACAGCCACTGGAGATTCTGCTCTTAGTACAGGAATCGTCGCCGTCGTATTCCATGAATTACTCTACCTTCTGGAGCTCGGTGAAGTTGCCAGCAGTGATTTCCCAAATGTGGAATCCTTCGCCGAAATGGAGCTCTGTTCATCTCGTCAGCGAATGCTCGTCGTGCTCCAGAACACGCGCGCTGTTCTTACTGATTAAGACGGTCGAGTTCAATAGCACGGTGAAGATCTAAACCAGTCAACATCCGCAAGGCATTTGCCTCAGACATCGTGAGCTCACCCATCCAACTAGACAACTCCCTGTCTCACATATCAGCCTGAGTCAAACTAGGTACTTCAGGTCAACACCTACAATCTTCCAGTCGAAACTTTCCATTCACTGACAGCTTGACGTAGACCCTCAACGCGAAGAAAACCACTACCACAATCTGAATGAGAATCATGTACACCATGTGGAGCATATGTCCAGCGTCACGCGGATTGTCAAAATTGGGCGTCTCCCCGGGCGGTGGTGGCGCCGCTCCGATCGAGCCTGTGTTGGTGCTCATCACTGCTCGCTCCGGCCCATGACGGAACGTTTTGTGTGCATATCGATGCGTCGATTGGCGGCGACGGGTCCAGGAAGCTCAAGCAGCAGAATTCTTCACCGCGGGAGCAGATTTTTCCAAGACGAGAACGAAAGACGGTGGCATCCCACGCAAACAAGACCGAGGGCCCCTGTGTGTATATAGAGAGATCAGAGGAGGTCGCCTTCCCCTGGCAAACACGTGCCGCAGGGGAGGGAGGCTCGGAGAGGGGGGTATGTGCTCTTTGACATGACATCTCAGCATTGAGTTTCGAAATACTGACGATAGCACAGGAAAGGGACGGGGTACCATCTCCGCGATGAACGCGAGTAAGCCAACGCGGCCCAGAACTCGTTCGGCTCGGGCGGAGGGACTCTCCGGCCAGAAGTTCTAGACGCAGTTTGGAAACGACTCCCAGAGGGAGGGGAGGTAGAGAACTCTCTTTCAACACCGAGTGGATTGACCAATCCTTATCCTCTGCGGAGAGGTCTCGTCTCATGCTTGAGACCCATGAATGGCCCGTCGACCCCAACCTTTAGAGGTTCTGGAACAGAGGTAAACTTTATCTACGGACGGACCCTCTCTCGGTCGGGAACACCGTCGTCAAACGTCTTTTTCGCAATGTTGGACCATTTAGCTGCGTGGACAGGCAACAACATATCATGCTGGCTGACAGGTGAACCTAGGTTGAGCCATGCACAGTGAGATGGACTCGCCCGCCTTGATCTGGCATCTTGCGCGTTTTTTCGAGTTGGGATATCTTTCGACCGGACGACGTCTCAGGGCGCGATGCATCGTAGATAGAGCCCGGCAGTCTGGGTCGAAACCGTGCCAAGACAAACCGCTCGAGATTTACAGCGACAGCTGCCGTTGAGCAGCTGCATGGCATCTACATGTTTTGGGATAAGCTAGCGAGGACTCTGATCAGATAATCAGGAGCCGTGCTAAGAATTTGTCGAAGAAGCTACGAAGCGTTCGTCATCATGAAGCCAGCCACCTTCAAGTTGTGAGATCGTGTAACTCTCGCCATACTCTGGTACCGCCAGCCACAAACTCTCTCCACTAGGAGCAAATGATGGAAATGAAGCTTTTCTTATACCTCTTCCGGCCAAACTGCAGTGTGTCAGTCGTCACTAGGTACTCGAAAGGTTGGCGTAACAGCAGAGGGTGCCTGGTAGGTTTCCTCTGCGTGGGGTGGCAGAAGCTTTCCGCTATATACGTCCGATCTGGAACTGTAGACGACGAGGCCGGAATCGCTCCCCAAGAATTGGCTTCTAGGGCAGCCGTCGAACTCCGAATCAGCACATTGTGGCTGCGTGGCATCACCTAAGCATCCGGCCGACAGCTTCACGCCGGCCCACTCTCGACTGCTTTCCGGTGTGAGAGTCCATAACACCAACTCGTGGAAAGCGCTGAGTTTGGGCAGATAAGCTCGTGGGGATGGGCGTGGCACGTGTCGAGTAGCGGGGAGGTAGGGTGCGGAGGAAGGGGTCTTGTAGGTCGAAAGCTTCTCGGCCATGATGTCTTGAAGACCAGGAGCTCTCTGGATAGAGCTAGGAACATTCATGTTAAGATGACATACATGGGCTGACAGAGGTATGAAGGGCTGAGAGTCATGTCCTCTATCCTTTCTCGTTGGGCTTTTCAAGTTGCTGGTATGATGCTAGCCCAACTTCCTACTGGGATAACAGACATTGGGCAGCAGCTGCGAAGAGGACTTTGGAGAAAGTGCCCGTCGCCGCCGTCTGTACGCCCGCGGCTCCGTATCTCATGTCATGAATCCTCTACAACGAGGTGTCTCTATGAGTCAGGAGCCTTAAACGGCTCTAGGCTAAGGTAATGCGATAGAGGAATTTGACTTCCTCTCCCTTCACCTCATCAAATGATCGCACCGTACACGTGCCCCGTGGATAGATCAAAGCGTGGCCTAGCTTCTGCGCATATGGTAAGGTAGCTAGCTATGAACACGCATCATGAAGGTTTGCCGGAGCCGGCTCCGCTTGGAGCGGAGTCTCCTCTACCGTATTTCACGATAAGAAAGTCTGTCAACGAGGGGGTTATTGAGGTGTGGGACTTGACTCGCTAGAAGCTTGATTTACTTTTCGTCTCTTCTTGTAGGGGTTCTGTGACGTCGAGAATGTGACGACGATAGGACTTGACTCATTGCCAGCTTGCTGAGTGATTTTGATGATGGTTTTCTTGTGGCAGTCGAGGGATCTCTGGCGGCAGCTTCCCATTGACCTTCCAAGTGAGACATTACTCAGATATTCAAAACCTACTTCCTCGCAGTCTTGGTGTAGAAGAGCTACATGGCGAACATCAGATTCGATTTGATACAGCATGTAAGCTCTCGAGATCTTGCTTAAAATTGGTATCATTTCGGAGCGAGTGCCTAGTCACGGGGAACATTCTCAAGAATCGTGAGGACAGCCCCTATCTGCCAGACCACTGCTCCCTCCACCCGCCCTTCTCAAACAACCACAGCGCCTCCGTCGCATACGCCCGACTCCCCCTATGACCACCATCCACAATCGCCGCCTCGGACAAGCTCTCCAGCACGCGTCCCTCCTGCACACTGCTCCAGATGCCGCGTCCCAAGCTATCCTCCTCGCCGTTTCCCCACTCGCCTTTACCCAGCCTATACAGAATCCGCCCCAGCGTCTGGAACGCGACGCACCTCTGCGCTGGCACGGCGCTACGCGCATAAATAGCCAACTCCTCGATCGTGTACCCCGCCGCCTCAGGCGCCTGGCCGTGGTGGTGCAGCCCATTTGACGTGGGTATCGACCTGCTCAGGCGAGGGGGGATCAGCCCGCCCTTGAAGTCGAAGCGGAGGGCGGCGATGGGGAGGGAGGACTGGCCCGGGTAGTAGGGGGATTCGCGGTCGGCGGGGGAATCGGCCGTCGGGATGGGCGCCATCCAGGCGAGCTTGCTCGGGTCGGCGGGGAGGTTGGGGAAGAATTTCTCGTGGAGGGTCTGGAGGAAGTCGGGGTGCGAGGGGTCGAGGTCGGGAAGGGCGGGCGCCTGGGGGAAGTGCGTCTTGTCGGGCTGGTCGTTGAGGGGGAAGAGGTCTGCTGGAGGGGCGGCGGGGGCCTTGTCTTCGTGTGTGTGCGAGGGCTTTGGCGGTGCCTTTGATGTTGGCTCGTCTTCTTCGTCTGCGAATGAGACGGATTTCGGAGCCGTAGCGGGCTTTGGTGCTGGCTTGGGTTTCGGCGGCGCAGAGGTGTCCTCGATCTTGATCTCTGGTGTCGGGGCCGGCGGCTCCCTCTTGGTTTCGTCCGCGGGCGGATCGAAGGGATTCGGGCCATGCTGCTCGTCTATATTGGCCCTACCGAGGAGGCGCTGGATAAGGGACGGGTCGAGAGAGTTTAGCAGTTCCTGCCTCTCCTGTGCAATGTCCTCTGGGCTCATATCCTCCAGCTTCTGCCTATTTTCGCGGTCGATTCTCCGTCGCTCGGCGGCCTCGAAAGACTTTTGTGAGTCTGCGGCGACATCTTCGCTGGACTTGGGCTGGATCGAGGAGGTCGCGGCCGCGGCCTGAGCACCTGTCGTGGGCTTGCCTTGCCGTTGCTGCTTGAAAGCCGAGACGCGGGCTGCGCGCTTCTTGTGTGCGGGGAAGCCTGTCGGGGCGGCGTCGATGTCGTCAAAGACAACGGGTTTCGCAGGTGCCGTCTCCTTTTCGACAATATCTCCGACTAGCATCATCGGCTCCATAATTGCGTTGTGGGGGTTGGAAAGAAGGACTTGGAAGAGAGCAAGATCGTGAGAATGTTGGCGGTTCGGCGGGAGCAGTTGGTGGGTGGGTTTACCAATTATTTTTTTCCCTTTGGTCGCAGTCCAGAGTGACGTACCTTTTCTTCTTATCGGGCTGTAGCTCTGCCTTATCAGATTGCACGCCCCCCAGGTCAGTGCCCCCTGGTCAGAGGCTCCATGCCTTTTTCGGAACTGCCCGTGCGGCACCCCGAACACAAGCTCATTTTCAGATGGGAGTACGACGGGGAACCAGGGTCACCGCGCCAAGGGGTCAGATGCGTTTGGGGGTCGAAAATTGCCGCATATCGACATTTCGGGCTCTCTGTGAGCGCGTGCAACTCCGGTCGCGAATGGCATAGGTTCAGTTCGGAATCAATAATCACTCCAGCTGTCCCGACTAAGGGAGGAAGTGCAACGGTGAGGGCGGCTGGCTGCAGGCCACGCTACCAGAGATGGAGGCTCATGGGAGGGGGGGAGACGACTCGTCCTAAATCCCGAGAATGCGCCGTTTTAGAGTTGTGGCTGACAAGCGGGACTGAGCCACATCAAGTTTTGCATTAGCGTCGATCGTCCGCAAAATTCCAGAAAACTTTGGATGGGCGGAGAGGCGGACTGGCGGGCGACCATGCCAGGGGGTGCAGTGCAGTATGTATGTACGGATACGCTGTATACCACAGCATTCTGTTTCCGTTTGATTGGCACAGTGCCGCTTCTTGGTGGGATAGATGAAACTCGTTGGATTTGTTTGAGAGTTCATTTGGAAGATGCATGGTCAATTGTGCACAGCGACAAATGCGTACATTTGCAAGTATACCTATCCGTACATTTATTTCCTTGTCGGTGTTGCCATGTCTCTCTTGACGAGAGACTGTTGCATGCAATTAGGTTAGAGCTTCCGAGAGGAATTTCGGCTGGAAAATTCGCGCACTACACTTTTTTTTAACTCCCTGTTTTCTTCCTTTTCTCCGCCAACCATGCCGCTTAGAATACAAACAATTGTCGTTTATGTCTCGCTGATGGGAAGGAATGTTCGGGTGACAAAAGGAAGGATTATGCACGTTCTTTCGAGCTTGTGGCGTGTTGCAGAATCTGCAACATGTCTTTCATGTCCGTAGCGCACCACCTAGCAGCATCTGTGTGTTGCCCCGAAAAAAGGGTTCTGGCTGTAATGAAAGGCTTGTTCTACGAAATGCACGTCGACAATAAAGAGGAAATAGAAAGGCTACGAA